AATTGGTGGTGCTGGTCATGTATTAACCTGCGGATCTACTCAGCTGGTTTAAGATCTACTTAAAAAGCACTGTGCTTCATTCAAAATGTTAACTCCTCTTCATTTCTGGTGTAGAACTGACTGCGTCACTGGGAGACTGACTTATGCATGCACGTCCATGGCATCTGTCCTTGCTTTTCTAACAGGTCTCATCCCGTGATGGTATCAGTGAATTATTGCTCTCAGGCCATGCAGAACGTAGAGTTTCCATCCTTACCGAACACCAGCTGCTTGACATTCAACTAATTTCTCCCTGCGCTCCGTTCAAAACTTCCAGGTGTTATCAGAATCACTGCTAAGGGAACATTTGGAGCATCATGATTGTAGAAAAGTATGATGATTCACTTATCTTCCTTTTGTCTAATGGGATTTCTTTGCCTGCGTAGCACACAGCGGCAATGAAAGTGATTTTAGCAATGTGGCAATGTTCCTGAGGATTTTGGCCTGTTGAAAGAAAAACAAAGACCTGGTAAAAGTTCAGACATCCTGACAATGCACCGCCACTGACATTTACTTTTCCTTTGGCGCCACTAGAGGTTGATATTTGTGGTTTTCCATATCATTTCTCACCCCAGCTCACAGAACCTCTCATATAGCTGTAGACTCTTAGTGCAAGATTTATTAAGCAAGAGCCCGGAAAAAGTGCAGATGGAAGTGGAAAGTTCTTTGGGTGATCCACTACCATCTATGATCACAGATGGAGCTAGTTTATTCAAGTGATAACAACCAAAATCTAGCAGGAGTTTCTCCAATTAGCAGATTGTAAAGCAGACAGACCAACTAATAACACTTGCACAGCTTGCTACTTATAATCTGACAGACACAGCTAAGTGTTTGCTTAGGTTTTTGCTTATGAACAGCATGAATAGAATGGTGGACAAAATCCTCCATCAGGGGTGTTTTGACTCCTTCTCTGGCTAATTTCTGACATCTCAAATTTCAGGATTTATACGTAGAAAAGCGGCTTCACTGCAAACAATTTAGCCATTTAAAAGGAACAGAGATATGCAGATATGGCTCTAAACATTTGAGCTACGAGCTGCTCTTAAACTGTTATTATGCACTTGTACTTATAACCACTACCAGGATGATGTCAATAGAAAATTAGGTAAGACATGATTTTTTTTTCTGTATCAAATAATGGTGCAATTAGCTGGAAATTGCCAACTGCAAGCCTTGATATTCATGTTGTATGACTTTTCTTTCTCTTCTTTCCATAAAAGAGGAACTCATGAACGGGAATCTACAAATACATGTGGAGCTCACTGCACGTCTTTATTAAATATCATTAGTAAATCTTACATCCCATTATTTTGTACTTTGGGTTTATTTGCAGATTAGTAGTATTGACAACTTCACACTTAACAATCACACCTGTGGGTAGCTGAGTCCAGGCCTTGCCAGATAATGGCATTTACCATCGCAATACCCCATTTCATTCTTACTTCATTTAATAAATTAATTGAATCATTGTTAACATGGACTAATCTGTTATAAATGCCAAATGGGAGCCGTAAAACAAATACACCAAGAAGAAGAGTTGAGATTGAAAGCATGCACGTGCATGTGTATCAGCCACTCACAGACTCTGCGAAACTAGGAGGTGTAACTGCAGTGCAGGAAGGCCACTTTGCCATCGTTATCATTGCAAACATTTGTTCAGAACACTCTGTTCAAGCTCTGAAGGGGAGAAATGTTGCAGTCAACTACATCGAAGCGGGAAGAACATGCATATCTCACAATTTATCACCCATACCATTACTTTTCTCTACCTTGGAATAATGCAACTAGGTTTTACGGACTTACTGTTGCATAACTAACTACATTTGCAGTGTTTACCATGGCAACAGGCATTTCGATAAACGGTATGTTTAAGAAATGGGATAAACTCCTGCCTCCTGGGATTGCATGCGCCCTTGTGCTCATAAAACCTAATAAGAATAAAGGGCTTCTGCTCTGAGTGAGGTGCACGGTGCTGTGCGGCGAAATGGTGAAGCTGTACAAGTTATTGCTTGTCAGGCTGATCAGGGGCAGGGATCCTGTCTGAGTTGATGCTGAAGTGGTGCTTTTTCCATTTCCACTCGTCACACTGAACATCGCTCAGTAACTAGGAAACCTAAATCCACAGACAAAATGAAAAAAAGGAGCCAGAGTCTGTCTGAGAAACCTGGGGGTATAGCTCACTAAAAGGCAGAAAGCATGTACTGTGGAGAAGCTAAAACACCGTATTTCTTTCTTTTTACAATCCCCGATTTAAAAAAAAGTTGATTTTAGAGAGGCCTAGTTTCTGAGAAGTAAAGATGGGCAAGGTTTTACCAATCTGCAAAAAAATTGTGTCTTTCAATTGTTGAACACTTTCAGAATAATGTTCTTAGTGGATCGCGGGTGCTGAACTGGTCGGCCTGCGATCCACTAAGCCCAGCAACTACTCTTATCAGTTCCCAGATGGTTACAGACTGTCAAAAAGAGGTGATGCTACAAACTGCTAAACATGGCCCTGTCCCAATGTTTTGGAGACATGTTTAAAATGACCTCTTTTTTTCCTTAAAATGGTACATTTTCACAGCTCAAACATTTGATGTGATTTCTATTCTTGTTTGTGAATAACATAGGTGTTTATGAGAGTTGCAAATCATGCCATTCAGTTTTTATTTATACACACACCTGTTTTGTAATTGTCTGTGAGTTGTATCTTACACTGACAATGTATTTCTAGTTGGTTGCTATTGGCACTTTTTAATCAAAATCTTAGTCAAAACTAAAAATGTGGTTTGGAAGTGTTTGGCCCTGCAAAACCTAAAATAACAAATATGCTATTTTCCAGGGTTCATGAGCAGGAAAGTCCAAATATAACTGCAGGGATCAAACATAGACACACCCAGAACTCCAGCAATAAACAAGATAAGGAACACACATGCTTACAGCCCCATACCTAATATTGGTGAACCCCAGCTATCTTATTTGGATTTCTTGACTTCAGGACAAGATATAATCAGACTTCTTGTAAACAGGATATTATGTTTATATGCAGCAAACACCAAAAACGGAATACTAGAGTTTCACGAATATTAACAGGATATTGATGTGCAGAGAAACGTACTCCGTCACAGCTGATCAGAATGTTCCCTATCGCGGGGCGGGCATGGCTCTCCGCTCCCTGTTCAGTCGCGCTAACACAACTGCACCCAAAAGTCATTTTCAGAGCCAATGAGCCTGCAGAAGAAGACAGAACAAGCTCCCGATCATTGGTGGAAAACTCCCTAAACTCTTCATAGTCTTTTAAGCAACATTTTGACTTTGCAATGCAAAAAGTCTGCTTCAAGTGAATACTAATATAAAAAATATTTCAAGCTGGATTGGTGGCAGACAGGAGACGCAGCCTGAGGTTGAGGTCATCCTAATCTTTGAAATGATGCTGTCAGTAGTACCGACAGCTGCGATGTTGTAGGACGTAAACTTATCAGCATCTTTGACCAGTGGATATTTCTCATGGCATATCTGCTGCACAAAGCACATTTGTTTTCTCATCAGTTTTGATCCCCCCGCTGATACCGGCAGCAGTTTCCTCCTCCTGTATGTGGCTTAGCTTTAAGTAAATTCATCTACCGCGCAGCGAAACACTGTATTCCTGACTCGTTTCCTTGTGTGAGGCAGAGGAGAGAGCGAGTACAAGGTGGAAGGAAATGGGATGTATAATGGCAAGAGAAAAAGGAAGAGAAGCTGGAAGGAATAGTCAGAGTGTGAGAAACGGAGGGGAGCTTTGGGAGCTGAACATTATTTAGAGTAAATGAGGTCAGGACCTTGAGATATACACTGAATCTCAAATGTAGCTCCTCACATTTGCAGCTAGCTGAGTGTTTATGCGCTTGTGTGTTTGTGTGTGTGTGTGTGTGTGTGTGTGTGTGTGCGTGTGCGTGCGTGTGTGTGTTGGCATCCGTCCATGTAGTCAATAGAATACCAACCAGGTCAATGTCATTTTCCCAACACTTAAAGCCATATTTCAGCAATAAGTCCTCTTTATTCAGGGTAATAGGTTAAATTAATGCCTCATACAAACACACGTGTATACCTATTTTTCCTCCCATCCCACGTTTTATCTCTTCCCTCCATCCTCTTCTCCTCCTCTGTCATCATGGGGTAATAAGGTCACTAAAATCCCGACCTTACATCGACTGCACCTTCCTGCATCTTTGCTCCAATCGGCCACCTCCTATCGGTCTCCTAGGAAACAGACAGCCAATGGGAAAGCAGATCAGATAGCAAAAGGTGTTTTGCTGGTGTGGATTGCTGTACCACAGTCTAAACATAACCCACACAGATACACACATGTTTAATGTAAGCTTCTCCCTGTAACAATCACAGCACAGAGCTGCAGCATCCTTTTTTGATTGTTTGGCCCTCATTATTTCCAGGTATGTGAATGGCTTCAAACGGACATGACATGATGAGATGGAAGACTGTGAGGTTCACCTCTGGTTGTACGCTTACAAAGCCCTGCCCCACAGCGGTGGTGTAAGGTTTTCATTCTGATGATAATCACAAATGTAGCATTATCTGCCTTGACTTTGTAAGCTAGAGTTATTGCTTGTGACCGAGGCAATAGACGGCACATGTTTACCCACAGCATGACATTGTAGAGCAACAGTTGTGACACATTGGTGTTTTCTTTTAACAAATTGTGCATTAAAACAGTGTCTGTGGAGCTCTAAAACCATGAAAATTTGGGATAACCTTGTGGTTGTCATTGAAAATATGTTTTTGCACACACACACACACACACAGCGCTCTATTTTGGAGCAAAATACCACAGTGCTGTTCCGCTCCACTTCCACCAACACCTGTTTTCTCTGTCTGTTCCAACTATTTGTTCACCCTCACATGTTTTCCGCTTTCTCTCTGTGTTGCACAAAAGAGTAATGTTCCTCTGTTTTTTGTCTTTTTTCCTTTGTCTTTGTCTCTAGTTGGTGGGGTTTATCTACGCCTGTTACGTGGTCAAGCTTATTTCTGAAGAGGAGGATAGCTGTAAGTACACAGTCACACACCTGCAGTCACATGGTCATACACGAAAAATACCTTGAAAGCAAAATTATGTTTTTGTTTTTTGAAACTTACATAATCCTCTATTTAAATGAGTACTTTCATCTCTTTTAAGTGTGTGCGAGGAATAAATGATTACATATGGGGAGTTACATTGAGATCCACAAACAAAAGTTATAATTGATTCACATAAAAATATGCGACTTCTGAAATATCAATCTTTTCAACATCATTAAATACCTGCAGAATCGCATCTGCGGGATCCATATGAGTAGAGGGAGTTGCAAGTATTTACACGAGTTGCACAGCAGCTGTGACTTTATTAAATATTTCAAACTATTAATTATCTCTAACATGGAGACAGGATTAGTGAGATTCTACCATCAGATTTAATTCTCTGCTTCAGATAGGTGAGCTGTCTCACTCAGAGTTTATAAACACCAGTCGTACCATTTGTCACAAAGCACACATCCTCAGGTTTGAGCACTGAGCCACATTCCAACTCCTGAGGTATTTTTAGTTTACTGTTTGTAAAATTCATAAATCTTCACAAAACAGAAGTAAAACAAAGTCCACGATACAAAACAATAAAATACAGGCAGCACAGTGAAAAACACCGTGAAACAGGCAGGTATGGAAACAGAATGACATGACGAGGTTTAATTGAAAGACAGGGAAATGCCACAGGAACACACTGAAGGTTACGGAGTTGAGTGGAAACAGCTGGGGAACAAGAAACAATTGAAACTAATCAAAGATAATGAGACAGGAAGTAGACTAACCTAGAATTGAGAAACAGAAGTCAGGAGAGTATCAAAATGAAAAAAGAAAGTGATTATACACAGAGACTAAACCCTAAGACACACTTGACACAGAAGTATATAAGGAAAAGGGCTAGAAAAATAACAAGTATACAGAATAACCTCAAGCCAGAAAACAAATGTAAATACATGGGATCTGAAACAAAGTACTTAAGGCTACAAATACAAAGGAGCATGACAATCAAAAATAAAAAATATACATATACAAATAAATTATCAAAGAATTGAATGTCAACAGATACTCAAAACTCTGGGTCCACAACCAATGACGTTGACACAATGAGAAAAAATTGCAGTTTTTTTGTTCTGTCGAATGGTTTAATCTGTTCTGAATTTTTTTGTTTGTTCGTTTGAAAAGATTTTTTTAAAAACTGCAGCCATTTAAACTGAGGATTTTAATTGTTTCTCTGGCTGCTTTTAGCGTGTGTAGAAATCCAAAGGTTGACAAACCGGCTGTTCCTGGTTACGGTTGCTAAGCTCTGACTAAACTCTGTTTGGCAAGGTTCAGTGAGTGGTTGATTTCTAATATACTGGGTAAAGTTGCTTTGAAGGGTCAGGCTTCTAAAATAAATTCAATCTGTCGCCCTCTCACTACACTCCTCCTGTCCATCTTGTTTATTCTCTTAATAAAAAAAAGCAGAAGGTTTGAATGGAGCCATTGTCTCGTTGAGGATCGTTACCACTACTTTACCGACACAAATTCACAGTGAAACTTGTAGCCCACAGACTTAACAGCCGGGCTCATTCATTTTACAGCAACATGCAGAGAAAGAGACGTGAGAGAAAGTGTGGAGGATGAAGATAGCTGAGCACATTTCTGCTAGATCAAAGTTGCTTTTCATTCATACTGCAGGTCTCTCCCTCATGCTTCCCACTTTCAACCACCATCACCAAGCAACAGTCATGGAGGGAAAAATGTGTGAAGAGAAAGGGAACTAAAAGATGTTCATCAGTCAATTCACAAAGTATTTGTCTTTATTGAGGCTTTTATCGATACATCAATTCATTAATACAACCATGCTGATTTGGAATTGGGCTGGTTTTCCAGAGGTGACACTGACTACTATATAGTAAGCGTTTTATGTAAGATGTGAGTCTAAATAGTTGCCTTTGCATGTGGCGCAGAAGATGAAAATGTGGCACATCAACATGTTAATTCAGTTTTTGTTGCTTTTAAAATGCAGTGTGCATCCTTGTGCATTTACTTGAATGAGCCCATTTACCTGAGGCCATCAGTTAAGTTATTCCGTTAAAGTAGACGCAGCCGTTTTTCCCAAAGATCAATACCGTGGCATGTCTTATTCAACAGTGAACCATGGAGGCTGCTTGTTAACGCATAAATATTGATAGGTAATAAATGCAGACTAGATCAGTGGAAATAGTTTGAAGCCTCGAGACTAGACACATTTTTCTGCTGTCCTTCCTGCCCTGAACAGATTGGGAGTCGAGATTGAAGGGGGCAAATTTATCCCGTCTGTTATAAAAGTGTGGGTCAGTACTGGGACAGGACGACCTCTATGTTAAACGAGGTCACAGGTTACATTTATGAGACTTTAAAGGAAAATAATTGAGTTTCAGGGGTTGTTTTTGAGAGGATGTTTTTGTAATACCGCATTTTAATAAGCTCAGTGATGACAGTAAACCTAAAATGCCACTTTGCCTTCATCTCCATGTCTAAATAATTGATGTGCAACATTTAGTATTTGCCCTTTTGTTAACTGCATTTTGGCCGTTGGCTTTCAATACTGCACATTCCTCCTGATGCTGCACCCCGAGAGAGAGTTTGACAGAACTAAGCAGCAGACTTTGATGAGAGAAATGTGTTGCCATCACTGTGCTTAGTGGCGTGAAATGTTGCCAAAAACAAACATTCTTAGTTTTTAAGGTAACAAATCCAGTCCCTGGAAAAAGTTTAAATAACATTTACTCATCCATGAGTCATGTAGTCCTGTCTGAGCACATGTTTCTGTCAAAGTGCAACAGCTTTATTTTTTCACATTTTAGTGCCTGTTCTTACTTTTCATTGGTTTGAGCTGATAGGGCTCAGCTAAAAGATGTCAGAGTTCACAGTATTTTCATGCACTAACAGAGACTAAGAGAAAGATGTCACCGAGAGACTCTTGAATAGAAATCTGAGAAAATTCTGTAGTGGCAAGGATGGTAATTATCCCACCCTTACCTCAAAAGAGCAACAGTCAAACCAGGAAACCTGAGAGTCAGTTGTGTTGTTGTCATAAATTTTCACAGTAGTTTCTGCTATGTTGTGGCAGGCTTATGTACTCTGTCTACATGGCATTAGCCAATAATGGTTGGAGGCAAGCCTCCTAATAGCTTGCAACATCTACAAAATGGCAGTAATTTATAGGATGGTGGAAAGTTCAAGACAAAACGCTGTTTGAGATACAAAAAGAGAGATTGCTTTCACTTTAATTGATACCTCTTTTGAGATTTCACAGGCCAAGCCCTGCTTGCCTTGCTTGCCCTTGCAGAACGCCAATTATCTATACATTGTATACATGCAGGATCTCTTCCCATTTATCTAAACAGGATGTTCAGAATAACTGTCTAGAGGCATTAGCAAGTGGCAGGACTTTTTTGGACAATTATTTCATGTTAACAAGACAAAGTCCCTAAATAGATAAACATGAGACATAAAAACTGCATGGATAGAATCAAAAGAGATTCCTATTAAAAGTTCTTAAAAAGTTTGGTGTCTTTGCCCCAAAATACGTTTTTTTCTGAGCTTCTGTTCCCCTGCTGATTACACATGTACTACCTGAACATCATTATAATTTAATTTACAGTTGAGTCTCTCACCACATCAGTACTAAGGAATGGAGACCATTCTAAATAATGTCACAGTAACCTAAGAAAGATATATCTCTATAACTTTATATAGTAAGGAATAATATCTTCTACCAAACTGTTGAAACGGTCATGAACCATCATAAATGATTCTGAACTGCATGGTGATTGTATCGTTGAATTTTTTTATATTATTTAGCTGTTGATTGGCCTTTTGGTAGAAAAGACACGAAGTCTTTGGGTAACAGAATAGTCCTTTATATATTTCTAGACAGGATTCATTGAGTGCCATATTTCCTCTCCTTTAATGGCTCTGTTGACATTAACAGCATAATGAAAAAAACTCATCAATCAACACATGATGAGTGTAGTGGGGCCCTTTTCGTTACTTATTTATTAATGAACATTTCACAGTAGATAGAAAAGCTATAATTTGAAACCATGTTGTGAGGGACTTTAACAAATCTGGGCAAATTTCACCTCCACATATTAACAGCTGACCCATACATTCATCCATTTTCTAAATCAATTATGATATTAAAAGTGATGGGAGCTGGAGCATATTATAGTGTACACTGAGAAGGAGGCACAAGGTAGAGTCTGGCCAGGTTGCTAGTCTATGAAATTGTTAATGCATGTTGACAAATGCATTCGCACTCACGTTCACACCAACAGGCAATTTAGAGCTTTCAGTCTATCGAAATTGCATGTCTTTGGACTGTGGGAGCAAACAAGGGCACGGAGGAAATTCCTGCAGACATGAGGAAAACCTTCAAACTGCACACAGATGAGAGATAATAAACTGCATGGAAGATTTTAATACTTCTCAAGGGGAAAATGCTATCAGAAAGAATCAGGATTCAAATTAAAGTCTCAGCCCTCTGTTAAAGTAGGGATAGGCAACATGTTTTGAAAACCATAAAAACCTTTCAGGATATTGTAATTCAAGCTCTGTGTCTTTTTTTTAGTCAATCACAAGTCCTTGGAGGTACATTGTGGTGAAACAATAATTATCTGACTTTGAACTGGAAAAGCTAGGCTTGAACTCCAGATAAAGCACTGATAAATCCATCAGATTTAATATATAAAAAACAATGATAGTGATGCTAAGCAGTGAGTCCCAAATTTTGGCTGTGGAAAGTGGTACACAATGATCCATCCTGGGTGAATAAACAATAAGGGAGCTTGGTGGAAATGGGCCTTGGGTGAAGAAGTGAAAACTCACTTAGGACCAATAATAATTTGAGTTGCTGAGAAAGCTCATTACCTTGATAATTATTCTGTGCTTGCCTGAGCAAATGTGTAGGTGTGTGTGTGTGTGTGTGTGTGCATGTGTATTAATCAAGATAGTAAGTGTTATCTGTCTCAGAGCTACTCAAATGTGCCAGACAGATTTTTATCAAACGCATTCGTACACACAAACGACACGCAGTTATGAATGAACGCTTTAACATAGCAACAGCAACTTTTTATTTAACAGTCATCATAGAAATGTTTGACCAGTAATAAATGTAAAGAAATATAAAGTTTTGCAAACATTTTTTGAGAGAGTTGCTTATGTGCTTACACTCTTACTGGACAGTCTTGAGCCTTATGAATAACAAATCTGAATTTTTAAATTGGGTAGCTACAGCTTGACAGGCAGCACGCTGACAAGCTCAGAGGCTCCATTTTCTCTAGTGTTCAAAGGGTCGAGCATGGCAGAAACTCTGCTGAGGCTATTTGACTGCAGCATGAATCAGCAGGAAACCCTTACGGTTTACACCAGGCCATTCCTCAACAAAAGGATCCACACAAAGAAGGAAAGCTCCATGCACCAACAGAGGCTCTGTCTTGTCTTTCTGAACAGTCACAATCAGCTGAATGACCACCAGAAACTGTTCCATCTGCTTTTCTGTTGTGTGTTAGGCTGATATTCAAATTTCTCATGCAAGCAATGTGAAAAAATAAAGGACAACTTGTTTTACAACTAATTAAGACTAAAGATTAAGATTTTAAGTGAAATAAACAATCAAGAAAAGTATGTCATGCCAAATTCCTAAAATACTAAATAGCTGTTAATAATAATCAGTGTTAGATTTTCATATTCTTTACTGATAATGTAGAGTATGGTTGTCTTTAAAGTAAAATTTTAAATGTCTCAGTGTTGCAAGATCTATATTAAATGATTATTTTTAATTTAACGTGAAGATTTAGTTATGTGCACAGGCATATTTCAACTTTTTTTTTTTAAATAAAAGCAATTACAGTCTGGTTGTTAAGTCCAGCATCATTATCCATTTCCGTATTGAAATGTTCCTCAACTTCCAAAAGCAAACAGAGTTGCCATTGACCATTAAAGCAGCAGTCTAAATTCTTTCAAGTCCAATAATGATCAGTGTCTTTTGCAGCTGATATTGCAATAAATCTCGAGGCATGAAAATCAGGATTCATAGAGCCAAGACGATAGCACCAAGTTAGCTGGCTAGTTAACATCTTTTTGCCACTTGTCTTTCTTCCCACATCCAGCCGGTCACAAGCAAAATAAAGATGTAAAACTAAGTTTTGAAGGGTTACTGAAGTTAGTTAAGCTGATCGAAAATTATTCGCTAGCTTCAGAGCTAGCGAATATTAAAACCATCCAACACTTTGTTTCCACCACTGTGTTACATCCCCACGAAGAGGTCTTGGGTTGTGAGTGTGGGGACCCGAAACAAATGGGTCCAGAATGGAATGAAAAGGAAACCAGACAGAGGTGTTCAGTATATAATATAGTTTTATTACAAATAATTTGAACTGACAGAGACGGCAAAGCCGTTTTACCAATAACACTAGAAAAAGAAAAAGCTCGCAAGAACAAAGGACACAACAACCAAACAGGCACTTCCGGGGGCCCACAAGCCCACCCTATCACTAGCAGCAGCAAGTTCCACTACTGCTGCTTCTGCTGCTGTTGAGGCCCACAAGTCCACACTACTCACATGAAGCAGCTACTCTCCCCACTGCTCCCACAACTCCACGCCACAGGCAGGACAATCACACAGTAGGACCTCTTTCGACATCTAGAACACAATGAAGAAACACCAGAAAAATCACCACCATCACACAGTTCTTCCCCAGCCTATATAATCTCAGAGAGGTGATTGCTGACTGGGCCCAGGTGGTAAACTAGGCCAATGAACACCAGCTGTAGCCTGGGGAGAGAGAAGAGTGAGAAAGACAAAGGGGTGGAGCAAAGGAGGAGGAGGCTGAGAGAGAACGCCACACCCACACAAGGGGAGGTCCTGGTAGGGCCTTAACCCACTGAAAAAAAGTCACAATTTCAAGTTACTGATAGATTTTCTTGAAATTTTGAGTTACAGGCTTCCATGCAATACAGGTGCGACTTAATACAGAAATTATATTTATTATTTCAGTACTAAACAAGTGCTTAGCTGTTGAGGCTAAAGCTAGCTGCGAGTTAGCATAGCAAAATCTTTGAAACAGGAGAAATTTTTCTCAAACAAAATCATCTACATCTACAATTTTAGTAACACATTATCTCTTTTTTATTTGATTTTAAAAATATAATATTTTAGTGATTAAAGGATGGCTAACTGTACATAATCAAATAATCTAAGTTGCTAAAAAAAACTGCCTTTTTTTTCTTTTTCTTTTTTTACATTTTTTTAAATATAGATTAACTAAACAAGAGGTAACATGTTGATTATCTATCTGATAATTGTAGAGCTAAGCTTATTGGGTTGCATAAAGATTTACATCAATCTTCTCATCTAATGCACGATGCAATACATACATGCAATGTATGTATGTTATTATCTTAGTAATAGACATATAAAAGCTATCTGCCATAATGAGGGCTTGTTTTGGGAATAAAGATGCCTGACTGTATGTGGTACTTGCTGTAAAATGTTATTTAGACTTGTTTTCTGCAGGTTTAAGGTAAATTCACAGCTACGTTTGGTCTATGCAGTGACAGCCAAAACTCTGCATTGTACTTGAAGTTATGAAATCTCACAGAATAAATAGGAATGTATGCTGCTGATCAAGGCAGGGAAGTATCATTTTATGAGCTCTGCAACATCAAAGTAAAAGAAATATCATGGCTCCCTCGCTTCAAAAGTCCAGGCTTTTTGCCTCTGTGTGAGGAAAGCAACCACCTGCTGGCAGCTCCTCAGCTCAGGAATCTGTGGAGCTATCCTAGATAATTTAGGAGTTAAGCGTATTCTCAAGGCATAAATATATATCGCTGCATAAGTCTTAGTCTTGCACCTAAAAATAGATAGGAAATTTGCATTGCAGAATTTTTACTTGAAGCCGTTTCATGCTTACAATCCTGATTAGCAGGAATAGAAGCAACAGAGATGGTGGTTCTGGTTCAAAATGTACTGCTGAGACCTCTGTAGGTGGAGTAGATTTAAAGGCATGAATCATCTGTTGTGGGATGTTCCCACTTGATAACCACGGTGACATACGCTTTCTCTAATTGCTTTTGTTTTTTTGTGCAGTTGATTTTATAGGAGGGTTTGACTCGTATGGCTACCAGGGGCCTCAGAAGACCTCCCACCTTCAACTACAACCCATGTACATGTAAGTATGGGGACACCCTGTCTCTTTTGCAGATGCCTGGCTAAAATGCTTTGAGGTTAATTTTATCATATGTTGTACCAACAACATCAGTGCCATGGTCATTCCTCACTTTTTTAAACCCCGAAAAGCTCTCACCCTCTAAAATTCAACTCCAACAGTCTGTTTAGGGGCTCATTTTCATCTGGGTTTGATATCATGCACTCTGCAGAGGTGGATATAGGCACGTTCTTGCTCTATCAGCATAAGGGCTTATCATTTACCAGCTCAAGGTCTCATCAGTTATCACCATTGTGGTGCTTTTATCACTCCCCTCACAAATAAAGGTGAGCCATGTAGTGAAAACCACTACACTGTTTTTGATAATTAGCTCTTAACCATCTTTTCCACTCTGACTGGAACGAGCACCTACCAGAGTATTATTTTTGTCTCATGGAGTGGCCTTTGTTGTTGTTGCAAGGTTTTTCTTTTGCGTATTTGCAGGATAGATCCTAGTTTATATGGTAATTTCCCTAGACTCAAACTGTGGATTTCAGTTTCATCAAAATCCTCGGCTGCTCTTAGGCGGCGAAGCCAATAGGAGATCACAAGACGAGTCCAGGCTCAGACAACCGTGCATCAATCTCACTGTCTCGGTTTGTTGTGGGGAAGGCGCCGAGCGAACGCAGGAAAGAGGTCCACCAGTGTAACAAACAGCGAGGAAAAGTAATGGTGATTCCACTGATGTGCAGCGGGCAGGTTATCAATAACAGTTTTTATTAGAAAAGAGCCAGAGCAAATTAGAGAGAGAGAGAGAGAGAGATGGGTGAGAGGCTAGTAGATGAAGAGAAAGAAAAAGAGAGAGGAGTGGCTAAAAAGAGAAACACAGAGTGATGGATGAAACATAGGACTAAACAAAGAAGAAAGGCAATAAAGGACCATTCTGTAGTTTTATATCTCCCCTGTGGAAGCCATAACACGGGTCATAAATCATCAAAAAACCCTCCACACACACACACACACCTCCCCACCCAAGATAATTGCTGGAAACACAAACACACATAAACATACACACGAGAGCTGAAGCATGAGTACACACAGACTCATACGCAGAAACATCCAGACAGTAGTTGTGCTTGTACACATATGGACACACAAACGTACTTTACAGTATATGCACACATACTGACACAAACATCATCAATATGCTATCATTGTTCTCCAGCTGTTGTCCCTTCAGTTTGGTGTTTATTGGCTCTGGCCAGAGGGACCAATAAAAAAGCATCAGCTGTACCATCCCAAAGGAAAAACACACAAACACACACCTACACACACACACGCACAACAGTCACCCCTCCAGCCTTCTGTAGAAACGTCTTTCTTTTTACAAAGAAAAAAATGACTTTTGTTGTTTTATGATAGAAAAAAATATACAGAGCTGAAACTCTTGGAGTGAATTTATTATACATTTTATTTATTCCTCATCTTTTTGTCTCACGCTAATTAGGGGTGGAAATTGATAAGAATTTAGCAATTCTGATTCCATTATCAATAACACTTATCTATTTGATTCCTTATCCATTCTCTTATTGATTTTCAGTGGGTTCTCATTGGCTCTGCCATTGCTAAGCAGCATATTAAAGACATTACATTCATGCAAATTGATTGCAGTGCTATGTGGTCAAATGTTTGTGCATGCTGGAGGTATTGCAGTACGATACTTAATAACTCCTAGAAAAAAATAATTTGTTACATTGCTTTTTACTCTGTAAAATGACCTGAAACACATTGTCTCAAAGTCTCTTTAGGCTACAGCCCCATACATCAACACAAACCCCTGTCCTAATGAGAACACACATACGATCTTTCTCTTAGTATTTGGTTATGAACACAAAACTGACAGCGCTAAGCAAAGATGAAAACCAGCACAAAGACATTTTGAGAAGTCTGACTGCTCATCAGGTTGCTACGTGTTGAAGTTCAGGGTCTGACAGCTGAGCTGGGGTTAGTATTCACTTATCAGCTTTAACATCATTCTGGGTTCTTGGCTAGCTTAATGTTAGCATGTTCTCTGCACAGGTGCTTGCAAAGAGGCAAAGTTGTGTTAGCAGTGTAATGCATCTTCTTTCTGTTCTCGATGCAGTTTGCACTTCATTTGCTCCGGCTCTTTTTATCATGCTCTCATACGTTTCTGTAATAGAAATAAAAGTAGTGTCCATATCCACGCTGCAGACTTTGACGCTAATTTGCTCCTCTGACACGCAAACTGAAATCAGCCGACTGTAGAACGAGTACAAGTGGAACCAATAAGTGGAATCGAGGCAAGCAGACTAACAATTGGGAACCAGTTGTTTACAAGAACCAGTTCTTGGTTCCCATTCCTAACGCAGCTGACCTCGATTGCATTGTGGCATAGTTTTGAATGATAGGCTGTATCGCCAAGAATCATCTGATTTCAAAGTGCTTTATTTTGACAGCATTCACTTGTAATATTTAAAACACGTCCTGTTAGAAAGAGGGGATTCAATTTTTACGTGGTTGCTGGTAGGTAGCATAAGACCAGCAGTGACTGCTGTGAGTACAGTGCGCTGTATTGCCAAAAGTATTTGGGTTGAGGTCAGGACTCTGTGCAGGCCAGTCAAGTTCTTCCACTCCAAACTGGCTCATCCATGTCTTTATGGACCTTGCTTTGCACTTGTGAGCAACTATGTTGGAACAGGAAGGGGTTGTCCCCAAACTGCTCCCACAAAGTTGGGAGAATGAAATTGTCCAAGAGTCTTGGGATGCTGAAGCATTAAGAGTTTCTTTCACTGGAACTAAGGGGCCGAACCTGACTCATGAACAACAAACACCATTATCACCGCTCCATTCAATTTTACACTTGCCACAATGCAGTCAGACAAGCACTGTTGTCCTGGCAACTGCCAAACCCAGACTCATCATGGGATTGCCAGACAGAGAAGTGTGAGTCGAGACTCCAGAGAACACATCTCTAATGCTCTAGAGTCCAGTGGTGGCATACTTTAAACCACTACATCCGACGCTTTGTAATATTTGTTATCCTTAGAATGAGAAATTACAAGTCTTGAGCCATCCACCATTTCTTTATGTTTTGCTAGAAAAATAGGGAAAACTTGGAGTGATTTACTGAATTGTGTGCAAACATACATGAGTTTGTACAATTCTAGCAACCTTGGTATAACCTTATTTTTAAACATTGCCTGATTTCGCTCAGGCAATCTTTCTTGTATTTTTTTTAAAATTAGTCTTCAGGAATAACTCTTGAAGGCGTGGTTCACCATCATATATCGTCACTGCACAGCAGCAAGATCCTAAGTTTGAATTCGTCAGCTGTCTAGGGCTGTTCTGTGTGGAGTTTGCATGTTCCCCACGAGTTGGTCCTAGCACACCAGCTTCCTCTCATAGCCCCACATGCAGAGGGTTAGATTCATTGGTCATTCTAAATTGACAGGGTACACATGTCAGTGTGAATGGATGTCTGTCTCTCTGTGTTAGCCCTGCAATAGATTGGCGACCTGTAAAGAGTGTAACCTGTAACGCCCTAAAAGTGGAAGAAGATGGATGGATTGAAAACACTGCACAGTGTGCTAAAATATGATAAGTTTTCAGCTAAAGACTAGAAACTGAAGAAATGGGAACAAATAATGTGTTTTGGTAACAAAGTGCCTCAAGATGCATTTTAAAATGGTTTCTTAGCTAAGTTGTCTGTTATGTGTAGATACACCACTGGTTTATCACTTGAGTGAGGGGAGGTTTTTTTGTACTTGAATGTTTCAAGGGTCAGTGTTAAAGGGCCTAACAGAAGAAAAACACTTCTCTGAAAATGGTCAGGTAAAAGAAATGGGCTGATACGAAATAGTGAAAAAGCAGCCACTGCCCAAAGAAAAACTTTTTTCAGAAAAATCTGGAGAGCTGTTGCTCAAGAGCGCTCTAAAAAAAAAAAAAAGACAAGAACAGATGGCTCAAGACTTTTTCAAAGTACAGGTTACACGGCTACCAAATCTTAGTCTTACTCTTACAGTTAGACATCACTGCATTAAAGATGATGTAATATGATTGCATTAATGTCAGATGATTGTTTTGGCAACAAAAAGGGGGTGTGGGGTATCACAGAGCCAGTGTACCCTTGAGAGTGTCAGGCTCTCTCTCGAGTGTTATCTTTCACAAAACACATGGGACAAGTGCTTATGATGTTCTCATCCAGCAACATTATCATGAGTAAATGACTAAGTCAGGGAGCGTACTGAACACAATGTACTGCTTAGCATTTCAGCATAAACCTCTTAACCTTCAGTGTTCTCATTTTTACGGAAGATTTCACAGAGCGCATGACCGTGTCACATACACTTTATGTTTTCATGCCTTATCGCACCTTAAAAATAACTACTTACCAGTTAGAATAGAAATAAAATCATTGGCATTGTTTTGGGTTTTCTTCATCTTCTCTGTTTTTTTCCCCCACAGGTCAAAATAAGCCCAGAAGCGACTCCAAGAGTGCTGCCTTACCAACGATTCCTGCTTAAAATCCTGTTTTTATTACTCCCAACTGTCTTTTAATAAACAACAGAGACACAGACAAGTAGACAGGGAACAGATGACTCTCTGCGATTCAGCTCACAAATCTCCCCAAACACTTGGTCAGATGGCTTCCCACTAGCCTGTTTTTCAGTGGAGTTCCTGATGAAACATTGGCCTCATGTGGCTCAGCATGGTAACTGCAGGACGTTTTTGATTCCTTCCTCAGACCCGGTCAGTAGCCAGTGACTTGCTTCTCCCTTGTGCTGCTGGGCGTCTGCTTTACGAGGGAAACCGAAGGGATGCAAAGAGGCCACGCTCGACGGTCGACGGTCACGTGTTCCTGCGAGCTTCCAATGAGAACTCGTTCAATTTTCTGCTGTCAAAAGAGAAAAAAAAACATGTTTCAGGAGCGCTGGTTAAGTGTGTTGGTATCTAACAGCTCTTGCGCCTCACCAAAGAGTTTAAAAACCATCCCCGTGCACACAACAG